TTTGAGACAGGGTCTCCCTGTAGCCCCAGCAGGCCTGGAACTCACTATGTAGATCAGGCTGGCCTCGATCTCATAGAGAGTTCCTGCCTCTGCCCCAGGAGGCTGGTGTGCTAGGATTAAAAGTGTGAGCCACCACCCCAGGTAGCCTCCCTTTTTTTCACTGCTAGACTTTCACAAACAACTATAAACATCTGTTAATATGAGATGACTGATTTTAGAAAAAGTGAAATATACATATATAAAATAACTTTTAGCCAAATGTCGTGTCTTACCTCGGCACAGACACTGAAGTTTAGCAACACCTACAGATCAATGGAGGTATTGCAGAAGATCCATAGCCTAAAGGGAAAAAAGGAGCATAATTTACATCTAAGGAGGTCATAGAAGATGCACATTAAACAAACGTCCGTGAATAACATGCAGTGGTTTCTTTGCAGAATTACACACAACAGTCTTTGTCAATGAGTGCCAACATTTAGCTGCTTTCTTAATGAAAGTTTTGGTGATCACCGGTAATGATTTTAATTGGTTTATCAATGTAACTTATGGCTCAAACACCAAATCCATTTCAGTGTCCTAGAGTTACGTAAGATATACTTGTGGAGCATTACTGTAGGAAAACGTACACAAAACATGAGAACTTAAATAATAAGCACTGACATGGTACGGTCCAGGAACGGCAGAAGAAAATGTGAACCAAACACCCAATGCCACTGAAGACGAAGCAGAGACAAGGACTGTCAGTAAATCCAGGGTGATACATGGGGAGGATCGAGCCAAGTGTGCAAAGTGTGGCAAGTGGGGCTCGGTAAATGACTTGCTGAGTCTTCTACGTGGGTGGAGAGGGTGCTGCGCGATAAAGAATTGAAGTAGATTTTCATGCACAATTAAATAAAAGTCACGCTAAGGAAATATGGAGGGTGTGGGATAAAGTTCTGATATGTTCTGGAAAAGACTGAGAGGAGGAAATAAAAGGTCAGGAAGTTTCTTAAGCTTTGTATAGATTCACTTCTCCAAGTTTCAGTTCTGCAGGTGTCTGGGTCGAAGCCTCCCTCATTCCCACCCGATTTACCCCCAGCGGGGACCTGCTTTTGACGGAGGTCTGGGACATCCTCCACACCTGCTACAAGGACCACATGTGGTTGGTAAGTTGGAAATTCTTGTTTTCTTAACGCTCCCAGCATTTTCCATGATACTCAGGTAAAAATCAAGCGCCAGCTGCAGCTCAGAGCTTTCTGCGTCTTGGGGCCGCCAGCTGCGTCTTGTTTTCCAGTGAGCGTGAGCCGTGGTCTCGCGTTTGCGTTTCACACACGCTGCCCCTCCAGGGTGGACGCCCCATTTTCTTCACCGCGTGAAGAACCCCCACTCACTCTTTCCCGTTCAGCTAAAGAAACTCTTCTTCCAAGGAATTTTTTTTTTGTACTGGCTGGAAGTTGAACCCAGGGCCTCATACTTGCCAGGCAAGCAGTCTACCAAGTAGCACCCTGTGTGAGAACCTGCAGGGATTTCATTCCCATTAAAATTTAAACCCACCTTTGTCAAATGTGCCCCAAACTAGAAGTTGGGAGTATAACAGATTTGAAAATTCTCAGTCCAAATTCCTCTAGAGCCAGCAACCTTAAGTCAGATGCTACACACTGCTCTTCTGGGGTTCCAGACTCCTTTTATAAAATTTTTTATTTGTTATTTTTATTTTATGTGTATGAGTGTATCGCCTGCATGTGTTAAGTGCACCCATGTCGTGCAATGCCTGAGGACAGAAGAGGCTGTCAAATCCCCTGGATCTGGAGTTATGGACAGTTATTAGCTGCCATGTGGGTGCTGGGAATTGAACCCAGATCCTCTGCAAGAGCAGCCAGGGTTCTTAGTTGCTGAGCTCTCTCTCCAGCCCCCATCCTCCTTTTCATTTTTGAGAAGCAGTTTGACCTCTGCACATCTGTTACTTGCCCAGATGATCTACCCCTCCTAACCTTTCTCCCTCCAGAGAAGAGGTGTCTTATTTCCCTCCCAGTTCTTCCCGTTGAATCCTGGTGATGTGACTGGAACGCCCACTGGCTCTGTGTGAAGTGCAGGCTCTCATTTCTATCAGATGGTTTCAACATTGGACTATATCCAGAGAACTGCTAAAATGCCTTTAAAAAAAAGAGATTTATTTTTAAATTATTGCATATGTGTGGGTCTGTGCATGTTGCCCACTGGCTCTGTGTGAAGTGCAGGCTCTCATTTCTATCAGATAGTTTCAACATTGGACTATATCCAGAGAACTGCTAAAATGCCTTTAAAAAAAGAGATTTATTTTTAAATTATTGCATATGTGTGGGTCTGTGCATGTGTGTGCAGTGCTGACAGATCCCAGAAGAGGGCATCTTATCCCCTGGAGCTGGAGTTGCAGGTTGTTGGGAGCCACCAGGCATGGGTGCTGGGGACTAAACTCAAGTTCTCTACAAGAGCAGTGAGTGGTCTTAACCCCTGAGCTGTCTCTCCAGGTCCCTACAATATCTTTTGGAGGAATGTGTTTTTGGGTGATAAACTGTCAGGCTCTCCTTTCTTATCCTTGGGAAGATCAAAACAAGCCCCAGCAACGTCTGTAAAATGGCCTTCATCTTTCAGGACTCTATACCATTGATGAGCAAATAGCTCATCTGGCTTTCAAGAGCAGAGACAAGAAGGGAAGGAATCCCAGTCAGCCTAGAGTCTCTGCCACCCCATGGTGAAGAGGGCGTGCTCAGTTCCTGTAGCTGCTGCAACACAGGACCACATGCTGGGTAGTTTAAAAAGCAACAGCTTCTTAGCTCACAGTTACAGAGACCGGGTCCAAGATGGAGGTTCCATCAGGGTTGGCTCCCCCTGTGGTCATGAGAAACTGCTCTGTGTCCCCTCAGTCTCTGGTGCTGGCTGACCTGCTCTGAAGTTCCTTGGCTCGTGGACACATCACACTTGGCCTTCATGAGCTCAGTGTTCTCTTGGCTGTGTCCCCTTCCATGAGGACCCCAGCAAACCAGGCCAGGCATCCTCCGTGTCCTCAGCTTACACGCAGCAATCTTAGCACTTCAATATCAGAATTTGGGGGAAAGAAACTCATCTCATCACTGAAGCGTCCAGGGATGGAAGCAAATGTAAAGTCCAAAATGGTAACACCTGGCATGAAGTTGCTAGAAGGGGTCAGTGGATTTGGGAATTGGGTTAAAATCCCAGATATCTGTTCCAGCCCTGGATGCAATTAAGAAAGACGATTCAAAACCAATCCTATACCTGGCCTGAACTATCTAGAATTTTTCCTGTAAAATAAATAGTAAATATTTCATAAAGCATGTGATCAAAAAGATATTTGTGCTGTTTGTATCAGACTTTAAATGGCTAAATTAGAGGAAAGGTGTTCTGTGCTGTGGAAGATCAAAAGTTCTTGAAATCCTTACTAGGTTTTGAGCTCAAACTGTAACACAGCTGCAAATAGTAAGAGTTCTCCTCAGAGGTTCCAAATTTAGAGGTTGAAGTTTGAGAGGAAACCAGACGTCACCTATTTAAAAGAAGAGAACGGGGGATTCAAAAGACTATTGAAGCAAGGGTTGTTGGAGCAGTGAAGAGGTGGAAAAGAGGCTGCAGAGACCCAGTCTGCCTTCTCCGCCAGCTGTTGGGATTTCAGTTCACGGGACAGACCTTCAGAAGGAGAGCAAGCTGTGTCCCGCACTCATCGACGTCTCCTCTTGGGTTGGGGTGAGCTGCCTCTCTCAGACCTTTGGTCTTCGAGTCCAGCTCGGAGCAGTAGTTCCTCTTGGGTCCTTGGCGGCCTCTCAGCCATCTCACCAGCAGGTAGGTGTGCAGTAACGCTTGGTCTGCTTTTTCCATTTGGCACTTTATATACTTCTTCATCCTTTTTAAAAGGAAAAAAGAGTAGTTAGACGTGCTTATAGTCTAAGAAGTGATGCAACTGATTGGGGAAAATAATGACCCTTTAAGCGTATTTCTGAAGTTCTTTTTATATCGACACTCCTGTGTTTTGCCAGTCACCGTAGTGTAGGCCCAGTACAGGCTGACGGTAACCTGGTACCGAGCTGAGCAAATAGCTGGGCTGTAGGTGCAGTTCAGTGGCAGAGCGCCTGCCTGCCCTGTTCAAGGCCCTGGGTTCAATCTCCAGCATCAGTTTCTTTAAAAGGCTGAGCTACATTCCTTGAAATGGTTCTCTAGTAAAAGCCGGTGGTAGTGTTGCAGAGACTCCTCACATACCAGAGGGTTTGGGAACTCAAGGGGGTGCATCAGTGTGACTTGTTTAACATTCACCATGTCCTATAATCATCTCTTCACTCAGACTTCAAGGTGATGTAAGAAACAACCCTCTCCCACAGTGGAGGCAGCCGCCCAAATGGTGTGTGTGTGTGTTTGGCGGGGGGTGTCCGTGCTCTTTAGAAGCCACAAACAGCAAAAGTCCAGTCAAGACCCATCTCAGACTGATGTTGGGAAACCTCCTTTCACCCTCTCTCCTTCCACCATCTCTCCTCCTCCTCTTCTCCCCCCCACCTCTCGCTCTTTTTCTTCAAATATTTATGTGAATGAAACCCACTCTATTCACATTACTGGGGAAAAGGAACCAGAAACTCTCTTAGAATACCTGATGCAAAGAGAGAAAGTTTTCATGTCAGGTTGAGCAGATGCCTCATGCTCACTCTCCCAATTACCTCCTTTCTGGGAGAGTGTTACTGGAAACTTCCAGTTCAGGCATGAGGCACTGGAAGCCTGTCTCTAACCCAGGGCTGGATCCATTTTTTATAAGGTCTGTAGTTTAGTGAAATTAGAATTTGAACCCAAGCCTAGCTATAAATCCTGTTTGTTTGTTTGTTTGTTTTGAGATGGGGTCTCACTATAGCTCCCAGAAGGGCCTTGACCTCAAAATTCTGTTACCTCAGCCTCCTGAGTGCTGAGATTGCAGGTGTGGTACCACCACACCACAGCCCAAATCCTGTTCTCATCATAACTTTTGAGAGGTTTCTAGTGTTTAGAATTTACTAAGCTTTAATTGGCTTTCATGCAATTTTAGTTCCTGTCTTCATCCATGTGCTGTAGGCTATTGGGAATTATGTCAGTCATAAGAAGAGTAATTTCTTAAGGATATGAGATTTTGAACGCCCCCTCCTCTCTTTTCTGTTTCTTCCTGGAGGCAGAGCCAAGAATTCCATGGCAGGTTGTTGTTGGCCAGAATGTAGGACTCTGCTGGACACCTACACATTTAAAGAGCTTATTATAGTTTCTTTTTTCTTTCCCCTCTCTTAGTTATTGGATAAATATAGAAAACATAATGCCCCTGAGAGTGAAAAGCTATCAGACAGTATTGAATTTTCTTGTCTAGACTTGGAGAAAACTGCAGGATGAAGCAGGGATAATTACATTGATATCGGAGGTACTGGTTTGGGATCAAAACCTCTCCACTTCTTCCGAGGTGAGCAGGTGATGTAAAAGCCTTGGCTACAGTCGGTCACCTGCAGCAGAGGTCTCACAGCGCTGCAGATGGCTGTGGGGATCTACGTGAAGATCTGGAACCCCACAGCCACATGGCCGTGGCACCCCTCCCCTCCTGCCCCGCCCCCACAAATGCTGCCAACCTCTCACAGCACCCTTGGCTCACTACAGCAAAGCTTCCTAAATCTCTTGTACCTCAAAAGACCTACTGAGTTGCCTGACGCAATTTCACACTAGGAAAAAAAGCTCAGGGAACGAAGGGACACAGCAGAGTCAGGACCGCAGAGTCAGGACCATGCGAACCTAATCAGGAGCTTCATGCGGTTGGTGAGTCCAAGGGCCGCCTCTATCACCATTGAGTTTCCTTAATTTGGAAATTTGTGTATCCTTCCTATCATGAATGGGAAGGAGCTCGTACCGATCAAGAAGACCCAGTTACAAGGAGCGAAGGGTACAGCACACACAGCAAAATTTGAGCTCTTAGTGTTCCCAAATGATGCAAGTTCTCAGGCCCTACTGAGCATGTCTGCAGGGACAGGGTAGGGAGGCCTCAGTGTGCCAGTCTCCCAGGCAGGGGGACAGGGACTGGCAGAGCTGCTCAGTACTGCCAGCATGTCATGCTAACTTGAAGAGGAAGTGCGTGTAAGGTGAGAAGGACACGCCTCCCGTGGACTGAGCAGCGAATTCCCCAGCAGCCCTAACCCACCTGGACTCTCAGCAGGAACACAGAACAGAGATGGATTTGTGCTGCGCTTAGCACGCAGGTCCCTGTTCCTGGCTGTGACTCCAAGCCTGCTTACCTCAGGGATGCGGGATTTGGCAAAGGGGAATTTATGGCAACCAAGGCTATTTCAACTATGGGCAAATGTGGACATATTTTTAGTAAGGGGGCAGAAACAGTTGGTCAGTTGAACAACTGAATCTAGGCATTGGGTAGGGGCTGTGTGGGTTCAGGATTGGCAGTGAGAGTTTCAGCATGCATGGTGACACTGCAGCCCAACCGTGGAGGGAATGCAGTATTGTGTGTGCATGTGTGTGTGTGTGTGTGTGTGTGTGTGTGTGTGTGCCTGAAGCACTTGGGTAATTTGGAGCCCCTTTCATTCAAGGAAATAGCCTGTGAGTTTATGAACTAAACACGTGTAAGCTTTAAAGGTTACATAGCATAGTCTAATCATTGTGATTGTGAATTACTTCTAGTCCAACTTTCCATAAAACCTGCGTCGACCTTGAATTAACAGAAAGCGGAATGTTTGGCTCAGCACTCTGTCCTAAGGTGACTAGAGCCTCCGTTAATTTCCAATCTCTGGCCAGGCTGCTTTTCGCATTCTACGAAGGTACTTGTGAGTGAACGTGGCAGGTGCTGATGGCGGCCCTCCAAATCACAGTGTTGCAGTCCTCCCTTCTGATCTCTAATTCTCCCAGTGCATGCAAATCTCATCTGTTCACTCTTTGCGCTTGGAACCCCACAGCTGCTAGCTTGGCCCTTGGCTCTGTGCAGCTCTGAACTTGCAGAGGAACTTTGGAGTTCTGCTGTGTCCTCACATCTAATGTCTGCTTTCCTCTCTCCACCACCTCCATGCACGTACCGCTCTCACTGAATGAGTACCATGTGGCCAGTGGTTTCCATGGTTCCCACAGGAGACCGTCTTAGACAATACAGACAACTCTTCTGAACCATCCAGGAACTTGACTCACTGTCACAAGGTTTTATCTGCAGGTGATGAGTTGACCGAAATCTGAGTTGCCCAGATTAGAACGCACCAATGTCCACTCTTCGGCAACACAAATATCCTGGGTGTTTTTCCAGTTATTGATGCATAGCCCTGGCTCTCAGCCTTCACAAAGCTTTGAAGTCCACCACGGCCATCCCCATCTCTGACTTCATTATTTCTCATTCCTCTGAGCTGACCCGTCTGAAACACTCACATTTCTTGACTCTGATTTTGAACTTCTGTCCCTCTGTCTGGATTAGTCTTCATTTGTACTCAATGCCTGGGGCATTTTCAGGTTTTGTGGGACATTTAATCCCTTTGGACAACTTTGAGGTGTGGAGTTTATTTGATGCCGATTGGTTGTTTGTATATTAACATCAGAAAACAATTTGGGGCAGAGGGGGACGGTTGGGCTGTATTTTATACACAGAGCATTATGAAACTTCTTAAAGGAAGAAAACTGAGCCCTGGGGACTGAGGCTGTTCCAAAGGTTTTGTAAGAATCTCATTTTCTTTATTTCCCTCTGTGTGTGTGTCCTTTCCACACACACACAGAAGCCTTGGCAGGTTTCTGTAGACAAACTAGAAACGTATTTGAACCTCTCTCTTCTAAGACAGAATTCGAATTCGAGCATGCAGGTCTACCAGGACAGTAGGGCTCTATCGGGAGCATGTGGTTCTGTGAGGGCTGTGTGGTTCCAGGGCTCCTCCCTCAAGGCCACGGCTGGCTCCCACTTGCCCAGGATCATTTGCAGAGCCCAGGCTGAGTTCTAGCAAAGAATGTAAAAGAGTTGGGCTGCCTCTGAGGCTATTTAGAAGATAACTGAACAATATCTTAGCCTGCTATCTTTGAATGGCTCTTGGCAGGCACTGCCATCTCCCGTCAGAGCTTTGACTATGTTTTTCCTGGTCTCTGTCTCCAAGCTTCAGAGGCAAAGACTAAGGACACCGCTCTCTGTAGGAAGCATATTTACTCAGTAACAGAAGATATAAAGAGCCTTTTCTGTTATTTTTATTTAATCCTTAACAAGTGAACCTGGAGCACCACAACAGGGTGATAAGGAAATGGACAGGGGCTGGGGCGATGGCCCGGCAGTGAAGGGAGTGTGCTGCTCTCCCAGAAGATAGGGTTCCCTTTCCAGGACTCAGGCAGGAGGCTGACAAGTGCCTGTAACTCCAGCTCCAGGGGAACTGGCGCCCTCTTCTGGCCTCTGAAGGCATCTGTACTCATGTGTATATACACACATCCACATGAAAATAATTTTAAAGGAAAATTGAGATGCTACAACACACCATAGCTGGAATGTCCTTCTGAAAATGCAGTCGCTATAAGAAAGATTTCAAAAGTCCTATTTAACAGACCCCAATTTGACCCAGAAAGTTCTCAATTTTCAGGTACTTGAACCAGGAATTTATAATCTTCCTCAAGACAGGAATTTAGAGCTGACTGAGAAACTGTTCTTCAGATTTGATTCTCCTGTAGTTTTTCCTTTCTCGGTTCTTGCAAAACTTGAAGCATGTTTATCTGTCTCTGCATAACTCGGGACACTGTACAAAGACAGGCATGAAAAAATAGTCACAAGCACTTGGTGTGGCAGCAGCGTTCAAACTGTGTGCAGGTCTCAGCCTGGCGGTCTGTCTCTTCAC